AGTCGGATCTCATAATGCCTAAAGGTTAACCTCCAGTTAGTGCTGCGGCTATAAAAGTTTTTCGACCAACGGGTTTGGCGAGATTCATCCAGTCGCACGCAGATCATGTCCATTGTGGTAGCAATGCGTTTTAATGTAACGAACCTCTACCAACAGATTGGTCTATATCTCCTTGATTTTCGTCAGGGAAAAATTGAGGTTCATGTTGTTGCTTGGTCGTTGATAGCAATGAGATCACCAGTTTAACCAAAAGACATTTACACATCTTTAATGGAATTGTCGCTACTTATTGATTTCATCTAGTTTTGTTTATTCTTTTTTGCGAAAATGCCCTAGAAGTTTTTTATATTCTGACCATGGCGGCCCCTTCGCAATGATTGGGCACGGATCTATCTATAGATTTACACGTTGTGGCGGTGCCATGGAATATACGTTTCTCTTCAGCTGCCATGGTAGCGTGGAAACCTGTCAAGTTGAAACGGCCAATGAATGAGGTTCTGCTGCTCGGAACTGATACGTTTTAAGGCAGTTAAAGTAATGATAAAAGCATTCTGATCACAAGCCCGGATGGACTGGAGGTTTGGAGGCCGCCGTTCGTAATGATCCTCAACGAAAGTGATTCAACTATAGTCTATTCGATCTTTCGCCCACCTGAACTAAAAATAGTGAGTCGTGAGCAAGAATAACAGTGTTTGAGCAATGCGTTATGGATGATTTTATTTTATTCAGATTTTATTCATGGGATAAAAGCAGAACTTCAGATAATTATATAGTGCTTTCTAAATAATAAACCATAAATAATATTCTCTATAAGGCGCAATTCCACAAACCGAGCTTATTGAAAACTGTGTGAAAATAACGGTTTATTCATACACAACGCAGACAAACGGATCAGTCGGGTGATCAACTCGTATAGAAATGTGGGCTCGTGTTTCATGGGCCTTCATTGTGAACAGGATTTTTAGAGTTCATTCCGTAGTGCGCAATTGTTCAACACTTTCAGCCGAAAGGTGAGCTTTGGTTCGAAATGTTGCAACGAACTTTGGAAATTAACCTTGGTCCATCTTGAAGCAGACTCGTAAGACAAGTCGAAACGTTGATATCGGTTAATCACCCGATTGACCTACTTGCTTGCGTTATGTATTAAAATAAAGCGTTTCTGCACAGTTTTCAGCATGATAACTAGCGCACTAATGAGATATCTAATCTTGGGATACAACCAAGCAAACGTCGTTGTGGCATGGCTATTTTGCTCACAGATGCCTAGGGCAAGCAATTAGGTCGGCATTCACGGCTCAACGTAGTGTATCGCTTGCTATCCATTATTTAATGATTATTGTTTGAGATCTTTACATTGGGACGAAATATAGGCATAAGTTTCTTGGACAGACTCACTAAATACGCATGATGACGTTGA